AATAACACATCTAGCACGGAAATATATCAGCCACCCCCTACCGTTTCATGAGCAGTACAAGCACACAAAAGAGAAATTTATTTTGAAAATTAGAAATGGCACATACAAATTTGCTTAGAACTGCAAAAGAATGCCGCATATAGGTAGGTATAGTGGACTCATGTGGCAAAAACTGGTTTAAAGGATTTTGGATGCACAAGTAGTGATCATACTTAGTGCAAATGAAGGCTAGCAAAAGATTGAGAATCATCCAACCAAGAAACAAAAAATCTCATAAGCAAGCATTAAGCATAAATAACACCAAATAATGCACCACAAGTAGGATGTAATTTCATTGCATAACTATTGACTTTCGTGCTTGCATAGGGAATCACAAACCTTAACACCAATACTCTTCCTAAAGCATAATTACTCGTCAACATGGCTCACATATTATATCACCATATCGCAAAACTATTACAAGGCATCAAATTTATTTTGTCCAATGATCTTCATGAAATTTTTTATTATATCCCTCTTGAATATCTATCACTTTGGGACTAGTTTCATATGTTGCTTTTAATAAGCTCAAACAAATATAAGTGAAGAACATGAGCATAAAAAAATTTCTTCTCTCAAAATAATCTAAGTGAAGCATGAGAGAATTTCTAAAAAAATTTACTAACTCTCAAATAAATCTAAGTGAAGCATGAGATAATTTCTTCAAAAAAAATACTAAAGCACACCGTGCTCAAAAAATTATAAGTGAAGCATAGAGAGCAATTCTAACAAGTCATAGCATAATTTTGGCTTTCTCAAATAGGTGTGTCCAGCAAGGATTCATGACTAAAAATAAAAGGCAAAACAAGCAAAGACTCATATCATACAAGACGCTCCAAGCAATACTCATGATATGTGACGAATAAAAATATAGCTCCAAGTAAAATACCGATGGTTGTTAGAAGAAAGAGGGGATGTCACTCGGGCATCCCCAAGCTTAGTTGCTTGATTCTCTTTGGATAATAGTTGGGATGCCCCCATGGGCATCCCCAAGCTTAGGCTCTTCTTACTCCTTATTCCTTCATCCATCGTAATATCATCCAAAACTTGAAAACTTCAATCACACAAAACTCAACAAAACCTTTGTGAGATCCGTTAGTATAAGAAAGCAAATCACTACTCTAAGTATTGTTGCCAACCCATTCATATTTTATTTTTGCATTATATCTACTTTATTCCAACTTTTTTATAGCAAAAGCTCTTCAAAGGAAACCATAGAATCATCAAAACAAGCAAACAACACAAAGAAAACAGAATCTGTCAAAAAAAACAGTCTGTAGCAATCTGGATATTTTGAATACTTATGTAACTCCAAATATTTTGAAAAATTAGGACGACGTGAGTAATTTGTATACTAATCTTATGAAGAAAGAGTCAGTATTTTATCACACTTCTTTTAAAAATGAGAATTATTTTTCTGGGCACAAAAATTTCTGTTTTTAGTAAGATCAAAACAACTATCACCCAACATGATCCAAAAGTCTTTGCTTGGCACAAACACTAATTAAAACACAAAAAACACAATCATAACAGTATAATAATTGTGCAAACACTTAAGAACAGAAATTTAAAAAAAGACAAAAATAAATTTTATTCATTGGATTGTCTCCCAACAAGCATTATCGTTTTATGCCCCTAGCTGAGCATATTGAGCATGCTCTTTTGTAGGGTTTCATGCGCTTTAATCATGGCTGGAACAAGGAAGTTATTATTCAGTTTTATGCCACGCTATACATCTCAGGAGAAATTGGAAATACCTCTACCTGGACTCTGGAATGGATGACTCGCAGAGAGAGAATCAAATGTTTGGCAGATCATTTTCTGGCCCTGATAAATATTCCTCAATGTGAGTTTGAGAAGGACAGAGATCACAGACTGCCTTCATGGCCGGCTTTAATGTTTCATTAATGTTGTTTCTTTTTTTTAATATGCATGCGTTTATTTTTTGTTTTTGCGCCGTCAAAATGGGTCCAGCCCAGCGTTGGACGCACGCGCCGACCCAAATACGAAAGCGAACATCTGTATCCGTCTGGCCGGCTCAAACGGGAAAAAAAAAAGCAAACAAAATCGCCGTCCGTTTGGGTCGGCCAGTTGGAGTTGCTCATTGGTGCGTTCCGCTGTCCCCAAAACTTTGGCACGACCGTAGCGCACATGATCGATGGCTCTGGCTGTTTGTTCATAGCCTCACAGGCATTCCCTGTCTTTCCGACGCGACAGACAGAGGGAGAAGGTCAATTCGAGGAAGCGCGGAAACGGAAACATGGCAGTTCGGGCGGCAGAACCCAAAAACCGAAAGCAAAAGCGCGCGCCCGCGGCCCACCCAAAACGGCCATGGCAGCCGACGGTTACTGCGAATCTTCTGCCGCAGACCCCTCTCCCAGGCTCCCGCTCCAATGCAAGACATGCATACCCCACGTATCCACGGCCGACACTGCCCGCATCGCCATTAGCGGGCCGATTAGCTAACAAGATCCCATTTTTTTTTCGAGATTGACGGGGGGGGGGGTCAAACCCCACCGCTTGTTATATTCCAACTCGAAGAGTGACTTGGCAGTCAGTACAAATACATGAAGGCACACACAAAGTGCAAAGGAAAATTGCAGAGGACGGCGCCCAGGAGGAGAGCCAAAAACTAGAGAAAGAACGAAGTAAACAGAGGGGAAGGTTGGCACAGAGACCAAACCGAAAACCCTGGTAACCAACACCTCAGGAGCAAGCTCCGCCGAGCAGCTCGTTCCACCATCAACAAAGAACCACAAGAAGCCCTAGGGAGAAAAAAGGCACCAAAAACGGCAGCTCACAGAGGAACATCATTGGCACGAACGAAGGGCGTCGCATAGCCGAGTTCGTGCGGTGACACCGGTGTGCCACCGTCGAAGCCGCAAGACGGCGCTCCACCGAGACCGAAGGGCACGACACCGGTGTATCGTCGCCGAGGTCGAAGGGCAGCTTGCCGCCAAGGCCACGCCAGGATATCCACGCAAGCGTCGTCTGGGCCACCATGATGCATAGCCCTGTCCATAAGGATAATCGAAGTAGGAGCATGCCAAGAAGCGCCAATGGCACGAACGAAGGGCGTCGGATAGCCGAGTTGGTGCGGCGGCACCGGTGTGCCGCCGGCGAAGCCGAAAGACAACGCGCCACCGAGACCGAAGGGCACAGTACCGATGTACTGCCGCCGAGGTCGAAGGGTAGCAAGTCGTCTAGGCCACCCCAGGACGTCCAGGCAAGCGCCAACAGAGTGTCCTAGGACAAAGGCTTGTTAGGATCCTAACCGAGGTGAAGATGGAGCAGCAAGGGGCGGATCCGCCCAGAGCAGAACAATCCAAGACGATGCCCCCAACGAGGAATTGACGTGGAGACGTCGACACCGCCGGACTCGAGGAACCCGGGTCCGAGATTTCTCTCTGGATCAAAGAGCAAGGGGGAGAGGACGGCAGTGCCAACTCGACGCCTCCAGGAAGGAAACGGCACCCGTAGGTGTCGCCGTCGATTGAGCTTTTACCCGGCATTTGCATCCTCCACACTGCATCCCGAGGAGATTGGCCACCCACCGCCGAAGCCCAACATCTAGGCAAGAGCCGGGCCATGGGGGTGCCGAGGAAACAAGCTGGCACGGCCAGCAGGAGACATCAGATCCGACGAAGGGGAGGCAGCCCGCAGCCGGGGAGAACGGCAGCAACGAGCAGCCCGCCTCACCACGAGGAGGCGACGACGACCCAGGCCATCAGGGAGCAGCAGCCACCTGCTGCTGCAACTGCCGGACGAGGGTTGCCCAGTCACCGCCGAACGAGCGAGGGGGAGCCGTACCGCGCGAGCCCCTGGATCTGAGTGGAGCCGCCGCTTTCCCCGCAGGCCAGAGGAGGCCGATGCAAGGAGGTGCCCCAACTAGACCACGACAGAGGGGATCCGGGGAGCCAGCCACGACGTTGACAAGGGGAGGCACTGCGTAGCGGGGGGGCTCCAGGGAGAAGGGTCAGGGGTCGTCGTTGAAGCAGGGGAGGATGCGGGAGAGGAGAGCCGATGCGCACGCAAGGGAGCGAATCCCGCCGCCGCCGGCCGTCGGCGGGCTTTGCCCGGCGACGTCTGCCAGCGGCGGCGAGGGGAGGTGGCGTTGGTGGGGTCGGCGGCGGCGGCGGCTAGGGTTCCGCCGCCGCCAATCTCTCCAAGCCTGCATCGCCATTAACGGGCCAATTAGCTTACTGTTGTAAGAGTACCGTACTCCGTTAAGAAGATCACATTCATCTCTCCGAGACTGCCTTTCTTTCTAAAAAAGATCTACCTAAAAACCAAGCGTACGAAGGAAGATTCACGCGGTAGCAGCTGATGCTGAATCACCAAAGTAGGTCCATCCAAAATCGCATTGAATATTCCAAATTTCAGCAGTAGTAACCGACGCCCCGGTCATGTACACAGAAGAATACAGCCTTTGCTTTTTTGTATTTCTTACAGCTATGATGCCAGCCACGTTACTATGAAATTTTTGGACGGAAGCAAATTAAGGACGAGGATTGGCATTTCCATACTAAAATACAAACAAGCAACCAATTTTCAGATCTCAAATTCCATCACATTCCACATCTCAACCCGATTTCAGATCTGGAAATCCAAAGAGGCAGAACAAGAATTTGCATTGCAGGGCAAGAGCGATTGACCATAACCATAATTAATTAGATAAACAATGCACTATTTGTTTTCGACACCATCACAAGGATCTTGCTACGCTAAAAAACCTCGAGAAATCAAGCTGCTACGGTAAAACGGAGGCTCGGGGACGAACCCTCGCCGCCGCCGTCGTCGTTTCACCCACAGATACACCTCCAAGGGTACGCCGGATTGAACCAGAGCACCCCGACCCGGATGTAAAAATGTACAGTCTAGAACACACAATCCTGGACTACCACCGACACAGAACAGGGGAAAACTGCTAATGGAAACTGGTTTGCCGGAGGACGGAGGCTCTACTTCTTGGCCTTCTTGGCGGGGGTCTTCTTGGCGGGCGCGGCCTTCTTCACGGGCGCCGACCGCTTGGTGGGCGGCTTCCTGGGGGCGGCCTTCTTGGGGGTGGCGGCGGCGGCGGGCGCCTTCTTCCCTGGCGCGTCCTTGGCGGAGGTCTTGGCGGCCTTGGCGGGGCGGCCCCGAGGCTTGGCGGGCGCCTTCGTCTTGGCGGCCGGCTTGGGCTTCGCGGCGGCCTTGGTGGTCTTGGCTGGAGCCTTGGTCTTGGCGGCGGCCTTGGGCTTCGTTGCCGCCTTGGGCTTGGCGGCGGCCTTGGTGGTCTTGGCGGGGGCCTTGGCCTTGGGCTTGGCGGCGGGCTTCTTCTTGGCTGGGGACTTGGCGGCGGGCTTCTTGGCCGGCGCCTTCTTCGCCGCGGGCTTCTTCTTGGCTGGCGCCTTGGTCTTGGGCTTCTTGGGCGCTGCGGGGGCCTTGGTGAGCTTGTAGGAGGCCTTGACCTTGGTCAGCTTGCCGGCGGCGACGAGCTTCTTGATCTGCGTCAGCATGAACTTGCGGAAGTTGGCCGGGAGGTGCGCCTTGTGCTTGTCCTCGATGTACTTGGCGATGGCGACGGTGCTCGACCCGCCTCTCTCCTTCAGCGCGGCGATCGCCTCCGCCACCATCTGCGCAAAAACAAGCACGCACGAACAAAGCCAGTCAGATCAAGGCGAACACGAACGAACAGAGAGCACGACGAGCGAACAGAGAACGACAATGGAGCGAGCGAGATTCGGCGACGGTCGGGGGGTTTACCTCAGCGTAGGTCGGGTGGGCGGGGGCGGCCTTGGGCTTCCTCGGGGCGGAGGGCTTCTTCACCTTGGGCGCCTTGGGGGTCTTGGCGGCCTTGGCCTTGGTCGCCTTGGTCGTCTTGGCGTCGCCGGCGGGGGCGTCAGTCGTGGTCTCCACGACGGGGTCGGCGGTCGCCTCCACCTGAGGCACCGGGATGTCGGCGGCAGCGGCGTCGGTCGACATTGCGGCGGGAAAGCGAGGGGAGAGGGGAGCGCTGGTGTGTTTTCGCCGGAGGTGAGAGAGATGCGTGTGAGCTGGGTGAGGAGGTCAGGGCGGAGGAGACGGTGGTTATATAGTGGGAGACGTCGGGGAGACGGGGAAGGCCGAATGCCGCGCGCTGATTGGTCGAGGGGGCGTTGCCACGGATCGCCCCCCTAAGCAGCCGTCATCAAACCTGGCGCGTCCGATCCGTTCCCATCCGACGGCCATCAACGCGCCCCATCCGATGCCGCGGATTCAAGCCCCCCCTAGTTGGCCGGCCGTCTCGCGAACCAGCCTCCAGACTTCCAGAGTGTGCTTCTCCTCTCGATTTCCGATCAAATATCGCTCGATCGGATGCACCAATTCGAATGCAATTTTTTTCACTGTGTAGGCAAGGATCATGGCTTTGTAATGAGATTGAGTTTGTGTGATTTGGTTGAGTATTCTGGGAGAAATGAGCCGGTGATCAGGGACTGGTCGGGATGGTGCCTTGGTGGGAGTTTGGTGGAGATTTCCGGCCGCCGGCACGGGGTGCACCGGCGAACAATGAGATTTTCCGGCATGGTCGTGTAGCTGGTTAACGTAGCATTCCGTAGGTTCAAGAATCACGTCGATCCGACGTCGTTTTGATAGGCTACGAGTCGATGGAACACGACCCAAGTTGCACAACTTGTGGAGACCTTTGCTGATGGTGTGTGAGTTCGGCCGGGCTTTGCACTGTTTGCCGGCGCGATGGCCGGCCGGCTCGCCGGAGAACCGCCGTGCTCCGGTAGTTGTGGACATGGGGAAGGCTACCCAGCTGCTGCATTTGGGTTGTCACACTTGAACTCGGATGAATTTGCACCGGAGTGATCAACACTTGTTCCTGTGGTTGGGGAAAGTCTACCAGGTGATACAAGTTGCCTTGTTCTACCTCTCAGATCAAATTTCATCGTAATTTCAGATGGTTTCCCGATGCACAACTCAAATATCAGCTAGTCTTTGATGGAACGACGATCAGGATTGGAATTTTTGAAAGTTTTTCGTACTGCTCGGACCAAGAAACGTGTCCAGGAAGAGGGCAAAGTTGGTTGGGTGTGGTGCTCTCTGCCAAACATGATGAACGATCGAGCTGATCACAACATTCCAACACATGGAATTCACAAGGTTTCGAGCTGATCCTATAGTTCGAAAATGCAAACGACGAGTCAAATACTGCAAAGAGGATGAGAGAATGCAAATTGCTTGTTTGTGCCAAACCGAGTACCAGAAAGCTCTGCATGGTCTCGGCTCATCGTGAGCCCGGGTAATCATGCTACTGGAACCGGTGTAAACATGTGCAAACTCAATAACTAGTTTCATGAAGATGTTAAACATTCAAAAACCTGATGCATCCTAATCAAACTGCGGCATCGGACCAGGGACAAGATCGATCAACAAGAGCAAATAATGGGCGTACGTGGCGTGCACGCCAGTACACAAACAAGAGGTGTTCTTGGCAGGGTGCACAGGTGTTCCATCGGCTCAGTCATGCATATGTGAGCTCACTAATCATCGCATCAATTCATGGAACTGGAGTTAACATGCTCACTGATAGCATAATTTAACCATTCTTTCACTTGATGCACCGGTTAAGTTGACCGTTCCACCTAATTTGACATCACTATCCAGTATCCACCATCCCATCTTTGTTTAGCACCTCAAAAAGATGCAATTGCCACGGAGCTTATTCCGCCCAAAACAACTTGCCATCCCTAGCAACATGATACTATTTTGGGGTATATAATTCTCTAGGTTCAGGTGCCACTAGCTGGTGAGGATGATGCGTGTATGTATGGGATAATTATCCTTAGCTTTTGTGTAACCATGGCGAGTGGTGGACAATAGCTTAAGACAGATATAGTGTTAACATTGACGAGTGGTGGACACATTATGAACTAGTTGATGAGTTTCGCGGGATGAAGTGGGTTACCGCTATGCATGATCGATGTGTGCACCGTGTGACAGCCGTACCCTTGTTGTGTAGTACGCGGTTGCACATGAGCGTGTACGACGGCAAAACCAGCCGAAGTACCTCTTTCACTTAACCAACACGCATCACCGAGCAAGTAGTCAAATGATCATGGATCAATCAAGTTTGGTTGGTTATCGCCGGCGCCGACATCAATTTGTTGAAAAATTCACGCAGCGTGGGAGAGTGGGAGTACTCGACAATGATGGCGGCACACAAAATGCACATTTATAGGAACCATGGCGTCGGTGATGCAACTCGCCTTTTGGAAGATCTGGGCCCTCTTAAATGCAAATTGTCACATCACTTGTTCTTCAAAAACATATTGTGGACCGTGGATCAGCCAAAGTGTTGGGGTTGGAAAAAATGCAGTCCCTCTTGAACCAATATCAACAAGCGACATATCGTATGTTCAGATGTTGCTAGTCGCCTAGGATGGATGGTCAACTGATGCACGACATACATCTTTTGTGAAGGAAGCGGACACGGCATGATGAGGGGAAGTTGATCATTACATGAATGTGTCGAATTAGAAAATAGACTACACGTTAAGGGAACCTTCAAGAAATCCCAACTTTTGACAATAGTAGACCCACACCCCTCTCTCACCACCACTCCCTACCGCGAAAATGAAACCTAACATATCATGCAAATTGAGCAAGTCATAATGATGTTTATGCAGACATTGCCCTAGCCAAGGCTTGTGGTTGAAATAACAAGCATTGAATGCTATCTTGTTTTAACTTTCTTCATCACTCGCAATGGGAGCAACTTATTTCTCAAAATTCCGTTGTTACACCCATTTAGGTATCTTAAATCCGAAAACTCTCTTTCACAAGTGAGCGTTGGAACACTCGATCGTTAAACTCGCCACTCCCTGATTTGAAGGAGCTTCAGATAAAAAAAATATCTCCCCTCCCGTGAATCAATTGTGTGGCTTTTCCATAAATCTCCCCCCCCCAACTTCAATGGGTAGGCCCCAACTTGGCCTACCATAAATCTCTCAGCCCCCTTGAATTCAATGGATGGGGCCCAACATGGTCATTAATTTTCTCTTAATCCGATTTTCTTAGAAGGAAAGTTAAGTTCTGCTTGTTCCGGTCGGAAACTGCGCGCGTCCGAGAGCGCGCGCGCATTAGCCACCCTCTCACAAGTCGTCATCATAAGCTCTAGTGCCGGTTGGATCCACAATGACTTGTTCCCTCGAAAGCATACATTGATTATTGTCCTCTTTTAACCCCGTACAACACTTGTAATCAAAGGACATAGTAAGTGTGTGAAGATTCTTTTGTGTAACACATCTATTATATGCATATTTCCATCACATTCCATTTAGAGATCCATAGGGCTTGGATATGATGATCTTGTTGTTTCCGAAAAGAAATGATGGATCTAAATTTCATTTTGAATCAATAATTTATCTATATGATTATGGAACCTTAATTGCTTATGTACATTGCAAATAAAATAGCAAACATCGAACGTTCACTAATAGAAAAAGAGCCTAATGTTCAGCTCATTAGTCCCGGTTTGTAATTGAACCGACACTAATGTGACCATTAGTGCCGGTTCCAACGGCTAGGCGGGCGGCGCTCATTAGTCCTGGTTCGTGGCGAACCTTTAGTACCGGTTTGTGCCACAAATCGGGACTAAAGAGGTGGTGGCAGGCTGGTGTCAGGCTGCAGCTCCTTTAAAGAGGTGGTGGCAGGCTGGTGTCAGGCTGCAACACCTTTAGTCCCGGTTCGTGGCACGAAGCGGGACTAGAGATGCACCTTTAGTATCGGTTCGTATAACCAACCGGGACTAAAGATCATCCTATATAAACCCTTCGTCGAGCCCGAGCTCTCTGTTCTTCCCCTTTCCTCTTCTCTATTTTCTTCCTCTTCCTATCGAGCTCATCCTCCATTTTTGCCAAAATTTGTCAAGATTTGAAGGCACCCCATCCATCCAAATGATCACAAAGGTTAGCAACTTTGTCCTTTCATCTCTCTAGATTAGCTCTTGCAATGCTCTATAAGTATAGTGATTTGTGGGTTTTAGTTTGGGAGGAATTATATGTGGTAGTATCTGATTTAAATGCAATATGAGGTCAAAATAACTCTTAGTTTGCATATGTAGGTGTGGTTTACTTAGTGCCTTCCCGTCTCCGTCCTAACCACCGTTGATCACCCGCACCGTCCCCGTCGTCGGCACCACCTTGTGGTGAGCCTCTTATTCTTATCTTTTTTATATAAAAAAACATCTTTGTGTGATTTAGATATTTAATTACTTGTATAATTACGTTGTTTGTTATACATAGTGCCATGGTTTTGATATATGTCCCCGTCGGCCCCATACGGGCGACACCTAGCGCCAGACGAAGTGACCAAATGAATCGTTCTTTTTGTACATGGACGGACGAAAATGTGCTTATGAACTTACAAAAATGTTGGATGTGTTATTGCTTGACTAGCTTGCCAAAATAATTTGACGTTGGAGAAAATGATGCATTTTTCAATAAATTGATGCACATATACAACAAAATTGAAAATAAAAATATATAATTAATCAATATAATATTTGTCAATTCTCGCCAAAAAATAGTATTTGCCAAGATGAAGGCTAAAAATAGTAGTAGATCATTATTATTTTAGCCGTTCATTAGTCAAGTAATCTGTGACGCCCGGATAATTAGGCTACAGTAATCCCATGTTAACGATGTCATGTCACTTTGATTACTGTTAGTAATCTCGCGTTAGTTCGAAACGATTCAAATTCAAAATCAAAATCAAGCAAACAATAAAAGTTTTTCAAAATTTAAAACAAAAGTGTTCGGGAGATGCCATATTTTACATAGGTCAATATGGTGTAATAAACACAATTTTATAAACTGCCTAAGTATTTTAAAATAAATAAAGACAGAAAAGGAAAATAAAAGAAAGAAACTAACAGAACAAAAAAAATATAAAAGGACCCCCCCCACTGGGCCAGCTGGCCCAGCTGTTAGCCAGGC